CAGTGCTTTGATTAACTTTTAAATACATTTTTATTTATTTTTTATACTAAGTTACATTGGAATGCAATAAAAAGGTCACATGAGGTATTACATGCATATATTCTCACATGAATGTACACACATTTTCTATATCAATCTATCAATTCCTGAAGCACATTATCATGGGTTGCAATCAAATAATTTTGACAATTGGCCGTGCATGATATTTTACGAAGAAATAGCAATGATCCAGCAGTAGCACAATTTCTACTTCAATTTTGATAAAATAAAGCAATCTATCTAATCACTATCTTTACTTTCCCAGCTCCGGTCAGTTGCCAAGCAATATTTTAAAATCTCTTTTGAATTACACAAAACAAAGACATATGTTGGAATTAATAGAAGTTTTCAATAGTATTAAGACTATGCCAGATATTTTGTAAAAGCCATTACTTGTTGTAAAAAGTTATAATAGAAAAATGATCTTTCAGAGTAAAGGACATCTGCACCATTTTCAATAACTTCATATTTGATCATGCAGAACTGGGTTCCAACAGAATTCAGACAAAATTATGAATGAAATAGACATTGCATAGAATGTTTTATTTTGTCAAGATTAAAGTAGATTTCAAGTTAACAAATAACAAGTGCTGAATTATTGCTATTTCTTAGTAAAATGTCATGCTCAACCCAACTGCCAAAATTAATTGATTCCATACACGTGATTATGTTGTATTATGAACATATCACAATGTTGTAATCAAGACACATCTTTCGAAAGAGCTTCTTCCTTTCAACATGTTTACTTCTTCCTAATCTTAATTAGTAGAAATCAGATTCGTAGATTCAGGTTGTCAAAGATCATATATAGTTTTATCTTCACATGACATCACTATTTTAATACAGGATCCCCTTGTCTCACTTGATAGCGTCACCAAGTTGCGATATTAATTAAAATGAATGACTATTTATCATTTGTCATATCCAGTTCCTGACATCAGACATATACAATGTTTTTATGTTATCTTTCTAATTATAATTGTCACACAACCTTAGATCAATATATCATTGTTGTCCCCAGCTATTTTTCAAAATAAATACCTCTTTCCACTCTGTGTGTATGGAATTTATTCATTTTTTCAAATTAAATTCAAAACAGAAACCTCTCCTCATAATGGAATTTCCCACAGTCGCACAACATCTATTTTGAGGGAAATATGATATTTTGCATATTATGGAATAATATTATGGTTCATGTATCTAGTCAATCTATGAGAAATAAATCTTTCTGATCCATATATGCAAGCTTATATTAGCCAATGAGGTGAAATGTCTTATGAATTTCAATTTATAATTGGGCTGAAAATGTCTGATTCTTTGTGTAATAGTATGAGGTGCAAAATGCAAATGTCTGACACTTTATGTTTTATAATTACAGCATATGCAAGCTAATAGAGCCTATGAGGTGCAAATCTCTGACCCTTTGTGTTTTATAATTACAGCATATGCAAGCTAATAGAGCCTATGAGGTGCAAATCTCTGACCCTTTGTGTTTTATAATTACAGCATATGCAAGCTAATAGAGCCTATGAGGTGCAAGTATCTGATTTGACGCATTCAGTTGCAAGCCTTGAGGAGAGGGTGAGACAGTTAGATAATGATAAGATATCAACGCAACAAGACTTGGCAGCTGTCAGGGACCTCTGCGCTAAAGTAGAATCTACTAAGGATAATCTTGCAAGACAATTGTCATCTAAGTCTATGGATAATGAACAGGTAACGGATAGTGTCCAGTTGGCTTCAATTTTGATTTTGACTTATATAGCATTCAAATGCCCTTTGTATGCATGTACCTTTCAAGCATTACTCAAAGCCACTACAAGTGTATAACAGTATAATGTTTATGTACAGGGTGTCCCGAAAGTATGGGGCCCCCCCTAGGCAGACATATTCCAGTGTCCTCATAGTATGTGTCATATATCATTTTAAAGCTTATCCAAAGTTACATTGATTTGCCAAGTATCATGGTTCAACTCTCAAATGTGAAAAAATTACAGGCATTTCAAAATTTAGTGTTTGGTCAAAATTAAGTTCAATTTTACACCAAAACACTAGTCAATGTGTCCTCCCGGGCCATCTTAACAGCAGCAATTATTTTCGGGTCGGTTGGATAGTGAGTTGGAAAAAGATAAAGGTGAGGGTAGAAACTCTAAGGAAACTCTTCTTAAGTCCCTTTACAGGTTTTAAGAGGGTTATAAAATTCCACACCCCTATTTGAAAGGCTTCTGAGGTCATATCTGAAAATAATTGCTGCTGTTAACATGGCCAAGGGGGGACACATTGACTAGTAATGTGGTGTAAAATTGAACTTTATTTTGACAAAACACTAACTTTTAAAATTACTGTAACTTTTTTCCATTTGGGAGTTAAACCATGATACTTGGCAAATCAATGTAACTTTGGATAAGCTTTAAAATGATATATGACACATACTATGAGGACACTGGAATATGTCTGCCTAGGGGGGGCCCCATACTTTCGGGACACCCTGTACTTTATGTATTTTGTAAAATAAATTCTATGAATAAAAAAAAGAAGCATTTCACATTTTCTCATTTCACTTTACCTTTTTCTCAACGTTAAGAAACAAATCAGTTGCTAGGTATCTTTTGGAATAAACTAGCTTATACATTATGAATTAATTGTTTGTTTAGATCCAGACTCTGCTTGATGACATGAAACGAGAAGTTGAAATTCTACGCAGCCAGGTGGGATCTGAACGCACAAATGTCAAAAGTCTAGAACAAATACTGCAAACAAATCGCGAGAAAGAATTCCAAACTTCATTATCCTCTCAGGAGAAAAATGCTGAGATTCAATTATTGAGAGATCGTCTTCAGCTGAATGACAGTAAAATGTAAGTACATGGAAACAAAATATTATTAGTTGCAAATAACTTGTTTTAGATGAATTGTCAGCATATTCCACAGAAAGGTCAACTTTGTGAGTTTACTCAATGAGAAACTGAGTAAACGTCTTGACTAATCAGAGTGATGAGATTTCTCGTCACCAAAGAAATGACCTTGAAACCCAAGGTGATGGATAATCTGTCACAATTTTTTCCACTAAAATTGCTCTAATTTGAACGATTACGTCCAATTTACACAAAAATTGTTTTAAAATGTGTAGAAATGACCTCTGCTGACTAATGTTACTAAATATAGCATCACCTGTTGAATGTGTATGTAGTAATATGTCAAAAATTCTCTTGTTTCAACCGATTTTAGAGACTGGGATTTAAGAGGTTAATAAAGACTTTGTACAACTTTCATTATGCTTTGTGTCACAACATTTGATGTATGTTTTTCTAGGGAAAGTTTAAATCGAGAGATATCTACACTAAGGAGCAGAAACATTGAGCAAGATGCGGAAATCGACAGACTTAGAAGAGACTTGACCAATGAGAGATTTGAAAGGTAAAAAATTTCAGTCATCCATAATGGATTATTTTATAAATCCTTATTATGCTCAACAGAAGATATCCCATTTAAAGGTAGTGCTGACATATTGCTTGTATATATTTTGATCATACATATCTATTCCACTGATCTTGGGTGTTTTTAGACTTAATTAGTTTATACATCTACACGTGTACAGCACAGTTTGTGCAGTGAATACAAAATTCTATTTATCATTACTTACATTTCCAGAGAGAGGACGTCTCAACAGCTCCGTCGCCTTGGTAACACCCCTCCCACAGATAGTGGAAGAGCTAGTAGGTCAACACGCATCAGTGCAACATCGTCAAGGTCTTCCATGAGTCCAACCAGACGCACCAGATCTCCCGACCGCTCATACAGTCGCACCAGTAGCAGGGCAGAAAATGGACACTTGTAACTTGTACAATGGAATCATTTGAATTTTATTTTTGATTGTTTTTATTTTTGATGTCAGTATTGACTGTTAAATGGATATGGAGTTCTTGCATATATTATATGGGTCCAAGTAATAAAAATCCAAGTACAAATAAGAGAGAATTACCTTCAATGGTTAAATGTGACAAATTTTACAAGGTGACACACTTTCTCAGTAATGATGAAATACTGTACTGTTATTAAAGTGTTTATTGCTTGGGGTATTGGAATACATAGCATCTGTGACCCTGCGATTTAGAGAAATATTTGGCTTGAGGGTATACCTTGATGGAAAAAGCAATGCTCTAAATCTCAATGTCATTGATGCAATTGAAATATACCATTGTTTCATGCATTGAAACCTCTACTAATTTAGTAACTACACAAAAATGAAATAAAATCTCATCAATTTTGTGTCACCCTGTAAATGAAAGATGCAGACCCAACCAATAAATTAAAAAAAAATCGGGTCTGCTTCTTTGTTACTGTATTTTTTACAGATTTTATTGGTAAATCTGTTGATGCATTTATGATAGAAATGTTTGTATATTATTGTATAATATTGTATTTTGTTATGAATCCTGCCATTAATTGTAAATAAATTGTAATATGTACGTCTCAGACAACACTGCCACACTGCCATTGTTAATGTACAATTTATGTACATGTATATGTATACTGCCCTTGTATTAACAATGTAAATATAAAGTTAAGTAGATAGATTTTAAGCTTCATCTATTTGGATGGAAATTTTACCAACTGATAAATATGAAATGAATTTGTAATATTTTATAGTTTTAACATGTAATAAATCAAATATATTATTGAATATACAAATGTTTTTTATCACAAATGTTTGATTCATATTTAACATTTACTGAAATGCTTAGATAACATTTTGTGGCAATTTTTGCGCTTTTGTGAAGAGCAAACACACTATAACAATAATGTACAGCTACTCAGTATAGTATTTACCGATTTAGATGTTTGAAATGTTTGATTTGAAATAACTACTGTAATCCCGGGACTGTAATTAATTAACAATGGTGTTCTATGAGAAATATTTTCAAAATCTAAGACATCTTGAAACAAATGTACCGCCATTCTTAAACAATCATTAACACGGGAACTTTAAAATAATAAGAGACATGTGTTTGTATATGGCCTTAGGTTCATTGTAAATATAGATACCCTTTAAAGTCAATTGTCCTACTTATAAAATGGACATTTCTTAAAAACCTGAAACTAACAGTGAAATAATGGTAAAAGAGCATTAAGTTTTTTACAACAATGATATAATTTATTTATTATTTCAAATAAGATCTGTTATAACACATGTAGATTGTGCGATTGGATTCTGTTTTGTTGGACTTGGCTCTGAGTCCTCGTCAATACTTTCTAGTCTCACCCTAGAGGGTGCTAGAACGGGATCTGCAGAAACACGCCTCGATGTGTGTTTTTTCTCGTGTAATGCTCGCACGGCGTGTAAATCTACCAACAAAGAACTCTCTGCTGTGATAGATTGACTCCTTGCTTTGTCATATGTTAAAGTGTCTTGCTCAACCCCGCCATAATTTAATTTAGGAACTTCTAAGAATTGCCCTGATGAGTTTGTCATTGAGACTGATCCTCCTCGTTTTGGAAGTGGTGCTAAATCAGCTTCCACTTGCCTGAGGTCGCTTATGTAGGAGTCCTGAGTGATCTCAGATGTACAGATACTGTTCCTGTATGCGCTGTCACTGGCTGCACTAAATGCAGATGAAGATCTGGTTGTTTTGGTGGTGATAGTCGCATTGGATGCCATGCTGTGATGTCGTGTATCTGCTTCACGGAATCGTGTGTGCTTAACACGTTTCCTTTTCTTCTGTCCACGTAGCATTCTCTTCAATGTATGGCGGAATCGTTTATTTGTCATTGTGTATATGTATGGATTTATAGCGCTGTTCATCAAAAGAAGCCATGTAGCTATAGCATGTATCTCAGGCGTGGAGGGATCATGGCCAGTATGGTTATCAATGGTCGTTTTCATACTGACAACGACATAGGGAAACCAGCAGATGAGGTATACGAGGATCAGCGCGAACAATCGTAACGTTGCCTTAAGGCTCTTTTTCGTATTTGACTGACCGACATTTGATGTCGTGCTTGTTGTGTCATGATCAAAGTCAGCATTGCTTGCGACACTGTTTTCTTCATGATCTACTTGTGAAAAGTTCTCCCCCGAGTGTGTGCTATTGAACATGGATATCCTTGCGATTGGGTCTAACATGGCTAATGCAAGAGCACCTGAGTTTGTCCCAGTGGTTGGGCTGTTATGGTTATCCCTGGTTAACTGGATTGAGATATCAGCGATACGCCTAGCATGCTGCCGCGCCACCTTTATAATCTTAACGTAGCAGTATGTGATAACCATCAATGGAAATGCGAAACAGGTCACCAACATAAATATGGCGTAACTCAGATGATACGTCCAATCTATGCTACAGATGTACCTGAACTTTCTGTAGTCTATATTGCCCCAACCTAGCAATGGTAAAGTGCTACATATAACGGCCTGTGTCCATATCCAGATTACGACTTTGGTGATGTATTTGATGCTGGAGCGAGAGGTGTACTCGAAGCAGTTGATGATTGCCTGGTAGCGATCCATTGAGATTGAAGCAAGGCTCAGAGCTGAACCGATGCAGCATACGCTTGTCAGGAAACCAGCTATCTTGCAACCCGCCTGGAAAACAAAATACACACAGTCTAGAAATGTTTAAAAGCATATAATAACAAATTCTGAAATTATGCATTTCCCAAGTATAAAATGCATACTACAAATACCCGTCAACAACAAACCCTCCACAAACTGCTGACAGACATTAGACTGAATTAAGCGCAAATTGCTATTTTCATATTTTTTCTTGTTGAACATGTATCTTCAGCGTTAATTAAATTTTACCCTCGTTCAAAATACTAACTACAACCCCCTCATAAAGATTGGTAACCTGGACTTCTCATTACTGCAACTAACGGCTTCCGGCTACCGGATTAACCAATTATTTTATGACCAACTCATTTAAATATGAATAGAATAGTGGCAGGTACTATTCATATTTAAATGAGTTGCCCATAAATAGTAGGTTAATCCGATAGCCGACAGTCGAAAGTTGCAAGCTAAGATAGTATATTAAACCTTGTCTTGAAAAGTTGCAACAACGCTACCCATTAATAATACAATCATTCTTGAAGATTAATTAATAATTTGTAAATGTTCATGAGACGAGCACATAATTTCAAAGGGGGTGATGACCTAACTATGATTCGCTCTTCTATTTCCGTTTGCTTCTTTGTGAATTGGAGCGTGATGACCTTCGTATGATTGATAACACATAATTCAATTTATAAATAACCGGAGATGAAATGAGAAGCTCCTTTCAAGTTGATGTAAAGCATTATCATGCCATGATTAAACCTCCTTCCTTCTCAAGTCTAAGATGTCAGATAAAAAGATGTGATGAGTGTCATAACACTTTTTAAATAACCTGTTCCTCTCCACAATGCCATTCTGTTGTGGGTGTTAAGGTGATGACTTTAAGTTCATTCGTCCGTTTTATGGGTCTTTAAATGAAAGCATTTATTGAAAATCTTGATTTTTTGTTCTTGGCCTATATAGAGGATTTCACCCCACCTTAGATCGGGAGAAGGGCTATACGTGCTTAAGATAGACTTAAAGAGTTCATAGTCTTAAGTAAAGATTAACAAATGCGTTTCGAGCTCACAATTGCAAGATAATGTTAGTCGCCTAGCTTAGCATGTTCAGTGCCCTAGGCAGCGTCACCATTGCCAACCCAACTCCCAAAACATCGAATGGCAAAGTTATATGCAGTAGATCCAAAAATAAGATGAAATTAACCAAATAACATGTATGCTGTCATGCCTACATGTAATGCTTATATGTCAGTTAAGGACAAAACATATAAACCATCATCAGATCATGCAGAGGCTGTCCTTTCAGGTCATGTAAGAGGAGGGAAAGCCCCAGAGTTTAAAGATGACAGACATAATTACGTCTCTTGCTTACCCCCTTCGTTCGTTCGAATTTTCATCGGCTAGTTATCAAATACTACACTTCGATGGGATGATTTAATTGATATAGGCATATTCCGTACACCTTTCTTTATCTTGATGTGAAATAAGAAGCTATGATATTGGTTAACACGCCAGAAACGAACATAATATTATTCGAAGCGTATTTCGAAAATTTTGAACCGCCATTAATGACGTCATTTGTTTGTCAACTTTTGACCAATCAACGACTATGTCATCTCAATACAGATTTACATTATAAGCGTATGTCATCTTTGAACCCTGGTGTTTCTCCCCCTCTGAGGTCATGTCACATCATACTATCAGATTATACGACAACAGATAATACGACATACGTCTGAAGCATCTAATCTGATTGGCACCTTTATGTTTTACAAATGAATCCTTTATTCTAGTTAGAAAGTGTAATGTATAAGACTCCTAAAATAATACGGTAAATATAATGAGCCAAAAACGACATCATTAACCTTCATAGACAAGGCAAATTGTAACAAATGTAAATCAAATATTAGAAGTTGTAAACACTATTTAATAACGTTAACCACATTCTGTTAGTTAACAAGGTGAAACAAGTTCTGTCGAGTGGCTATAAATTAATTTACCTTTCTAGGTAAGATCCAAGTGCTTCTAATTTAGTGTCTTGAAATTGCTCTTATTCTTGATATGAAATCATATGTCATGAGAGCCGACGCTGATACGGTGATAAGCTCTTTAGTTCTCTGTCGAACATATTTAATCTGTGTTAGGCCATTACAAATTAAATTGTGTTTAGCGACTTGTTCACTCTGGACCATTCAAAGGTGCACAATACGCCAACTCTGTAAATCATGACATGTTTTGGCTTTGATTTAATTCTTAAAAGTTTCAGAACTGAATTGGGATTAAATAATTAATTTGTATTTGATTAGGTATCCTTAATGCATTGCTCGAACTCGCACTTCTTGAAATTCAATCTTCTATTAGTGTGCAGGTAGTTCGTTTATGGCATAATATGCCATAAACTATGATAAACTTTCTAAGTGTCACGCGGTATTCCTCGTGTTCTCAGCAGCCATTCTTCGTCTTTTCAGTTGTGCAATTTGCTATTAAGCAGAAAAAGTCTTAGAAGTCTTTACGTTCATTTCTCATTAATTGGTTCTCAGGTGTTCTCTAGCATAAGTATGTTATTATTAGACGAATATATAGTGACCATCAGTGCAAAATAATTTCCCCTATTGTTAATATGTCTACTAATATGTACCTGGGGTTGTTCACTGTACAAGTGTACATGTATTACGGACTATGACGTCGGCTTTGGGAACGGTCATTGACACTTTGACACTCGCTCGGGTCTTTCTATTTAATTTGAGAGTGGATTTGTCAGTTCCACATCGTTCGTGAACTTATTGCTAGTTACTGAGCGATAAATTTGATAAATTAATTAGCGATACATTTGGTTATTTTGATAAAGGGCACACATGAAATAAGCATTATCAGATAATATAGATTTTGATATTATCGCTAACATCGATAAATTTGAAAATGCTTATTTCACGTGGGCCCTTTTCTCAAAAACGTATGCCGCATACCCTGAAGAATTTATCGCTATCTTTAAACAGGACTGAACTTATTTCACGTGGGCCCTTTTCTTGGTAACATTTGCTCCAGACTTTTGTTTTTGTCAAAATCATCGCTCTCGCTATCATCGCTATTTGGGCTTTAGGCTAAAATGATTTTTCCAATTGAGTTAAGATTATCGGAATTAACAAACATTTATCAATTTTTAATTAATGAAAACTCCCATTGAGATAATACGGGGCCTGGGAAATCATGCAAAAAATCAAATATCACATATCCTTATATAGTACTGTAGGAGCCTTGTATGTAAGGGTATAGATGGAACTCTTATTTAAAGAAACAAAATAAAAGTATCTAAATAATAAATATCATAAAGCCAAATAATTGTCATCAACTCAGCCTACTCGTGATGCTAAATAATATCATGTTCGTCAATAAATGAGTATACCGCTCTAGGACCGTGACAACCTGGCAAGTTGTTTGTATTTTTATCTTGTCAGATGTAAGAAATAAGTCACGGATAAAAGCTAAGTAATAAATTATATCACAAGTTCTTATCAGGCTAATAATGTTCATCGATCAAATATATATCAATCATGTATTTCAGTAGCAGAACCGAGCGAATAATGGATGAACTACGATTTTCTACAGCTAATATTTGCTCGACTAATTTATAAATGTCGCTGGATGATAAATTATCCATTATTTATTGTAACGCTTTTGTACCTGTTTATTCAATGTTCTCTTGTCGCTGGCTAGAGAATGTACTACACTGTTACCCATGAATATTCTGATAAGTCTCATAATGTACACTCCCCCGCATAAGTTTGGCAACTGGAAGTACATTTTTGGATCACGTGACATATCATGTGGTTGGTGATTAAAAAAAACGTTGTCTTAAATTTCCGAACTATTGTAAGACTGAAAATTTAGATTAAAAGATTAACATTGACAGGCGGCGATTTGCTATTAAATGAAAACGTCTGATTGCTAAACTTCTGGAGGGGAGTGTATAGTACAACCATTGAAACGAGCGATTTGAATTAACAGTTTCCGTAACATTCACAAGGAATTTTAAATAAAGCAGAGTGAGGCGCTTCGTTTTTATTATTGCGCTCTCTGTCTCTCAGTCAGAAAATAATTGACTGCGTTACTACACATCATTTTGCAATCAAACATTGTTTATCATACAAAATAGATCGTTAATTACATTTCTATATCAAGCTCGTCTTTTTGATGGTATCTAGCTAGGCACGCGAGCTCACATTGTATGACGGGTAAGGGTTCCTCCTCTTAACGTTGCATGACGGGTATGTATTCATCCTCTTTATAGACGTACTACTAAGTATACTCGTTATTTTAACCTAAACACGTTGCGAAAGGATCTGAAATTGATTAATTATCATCTCAGGTTTATATTTTAAGTGGCGAAGGAAGAGCATGATATTATGATTAATTATTTAATCACTTCATTCGATTAATGACGTTGGGTTTATTTTCGGTTGATATTGTAATCGTTCGTTTTGAACACGGGTGTTAGTTTATTTGGTGAACGTGCATTCAATCTACGCATCTTTATTGATTTCTATCGAGACAATATCGTCTTCAATGTTGACAGTCGAGGGTTATGGTTGAACATGTAATCAATCACGTTGCGCTTATTTTGAAAGGTTGAGGGTGACGCTTTTCGACGTCAAGTGTCGCTCTGTTAAAGTGGTAGCAAAGAATAGCGAATGTAAATGTTCAATAAATCTTTTCAAAAGGTAATATTTCAATTTCCGCAGTATTCTAGGATCTTTTAGGAAATAGATATGACAGCCAATAGTGTGATCAAAAATACTGTAAAATTGTTACAAATTTTTAGAAAGCTTACTCCAAACTTGTCTCTCCTCTTTGTTGGCTATTTACCTCAGAGGCGAAAGATGAAATTAAAACCAGATACATTTCATTGAGATTTCTAACAGGCGAGAGAATATATTATTCTCACATTTTATCCAGTTTTCCTGAGTAAAGGGCTCTCTTAAAATGTTTAATGTTCACCGTGATGGTTTATATTGGTACTAAAACTGCACAATGCAAAATATGTAAAGGCTTGTTGTAACCCAGGATTTGTCCTAAGGATACTCCCTATCATATAAATCATGTAAAAGTGTTTTGATCGCTCAGTATACCAGGCAGTTCCTAAAAATCAAAGTTAAGCCTAATGATTTTTACTAAGGTGGGCCAAAAATACACAAATTTAAAGATGAATATAATAGGATATGCGTTAATCATTTCCTAACAATATGACACCATCCGATTGAAAACACTTTTTTCTTGTTGATTTTGTGGTCGCACATGACACCCCTGATGTCAATTTTAGCCTCTAACTCCACAGGAAAACAATGGTGTCATATTGTTAGGAGATGCATGATTTATTTTCAAAATAATATAACATATATGGCATGGTTTAACATATCATATGATTCATCTTTATACTTGTGTATTGTTTTTTTAATCCACCCTGTAAAACCAAACGCTTCATCGCCCTTTTGGCGTACATGCCCATAAACATAAGTGCTGACTCGCAAAATTGAATCAACCTAGCCAATCCTTTCCCATTTGTATTTTTGTAACAGTTTGTTTGGAACGCAGACTGGGAATACATTAATATAGGTTAGTTTTACATTGACAAATGTCAGCAGTTATTAACGAGAGTATGAAAATAAAAGATTAAACTCAATACCCATCGGTGAAACTCAATATTTTGACAAGATAAACAAGAAAATTCCAATGCAAGAGTGACACAAATATGAATATATGGAGCTCGCAGTCCGTTCACGTCACCAAAATGTTATTGCCAACATTTTTATTTTTCGATTAATGATTCAAAAATTCTTTCAAAATCATGCTGTTTTTACTATATAGTGTTTTGAGCTCTGTTTAAGTGATTTGGGGAATTTTTGGGCCAAAGTTGTCAAAAGTGAGCACCCCTGGAATTTTTCAAAAAGTGAACCCCCTTCGCAAATCCTGGCTACGGGCCTGCTATTATTCAATTAATGATTTTCTAATTGTCCGAGTACAAGGCTTATATGGTGTGTTTTAAATGAAATGATCGAAGACAATTACTATTTAGGGATAATTTTAGCAATAAACCATGCCGTCGATGGAGTTTACATTGTTGAAAAATCAGTGGCATCTTAAATTCAATAATTATGTTATTTTGTACTATAATTCATGGCCTGCCAATCATCGGTTACCATGGCGATTGTAAGAAAAGAGATGCTATGACTATCCATATTGAGTTTGGCTATTATATCAAAATAATAGGGGCATTTTATGAAATATGCGACACTGCAAAATATGCAAGTAAAGGATTAGCTTTCATGATGAAATATAACTCTTTACAGGAACCTGATATGTTTATGTGTTTATGTCTGAAAATCTAATTAGGTATAAAACTTTTTCTTCTCTTAGGCAATCGTGAAATGATATACTGGGATATGTGACGAATGTTTAATTTATTATTATTGTTTTATTAAGGGCTTTCCTAGAAGGGATTTCTATACTATACTAATAGGGAGGTTAAGTTATATTTTTTAAATTGTACGTGGACGTGTAGAATTATGGTCCGATTGAGTAAAGTATGCTATAAGTTATTCAATGATTCGAGTGAAATACAGAAAATGTTCTGCCCGAGAAGGTCTGAATTTCACGAGGCGCTTGCGCTTGCTTGCGAGACTTTCGAGGGAAGAATATTTCTGTATTTCACGAGAAATCATTGAATAAGGATTTTTATTCTGTGATCATTCAGATGAAACTCCCATAATCAAGTCCAATTCCTTGACCTGGAGAAAATTCAGACAGATCAACCTTACTCACTCCATAGATATTTTGGTAGACGTATTTCTTGTTGTTAACTTGTTATTTGCTTTTCTTGTATTATACACGTTAAATCTTATGACCTTTCACTCCAATTTCATCATCTGAAAGTGCAGTGTACCCAAACGCTTTGGAGAAAATGTGCATGCTCCACAGGGGCGTAGCCAGCTTTCAGTCAGGGGGGGGGGGGGGGTGCGATCGGTTTTCAGTCAGGGGGTGCGAATGTGTGATAAACAAGCCAAAAAATAAGATTTATTTTAATTTTACAAAAATTGATGCAACATCCTTCAAAATTGAGCTAGAAGCGTAAAATAAAAAGCATTTTAAAGCCCCTTTCTTCTTCTTTCTCATGGTTTTATTTTTATTGGAAATGGGGGGGGGGTGCGATTGCAGCCATCGCACCCCTCCCAGGCTACGCCTATGTTTCAAATTGTTTTTTTATATTTACAGATGCGGGGCCTCTAATTGAAAGCCCATGGTTTCGGTACCCAGAGTAATCGAGCGGATCACCAGTGAAGTTGAGAGTGTGTGTAAATACAGGATATATTTAAATCACATGGGCCATTCAGATTGCAGGGAATTTCACCATCATGGAATAAACAGTGGTACTGTATACTGAAAATAATTGCCATTAGGTCCCTGGAAACCGAATTGATAGCGGGAGAGTAATCCCCGGGGGGGGGGCGAAATATTACACGTTCGCGTTCTTAAAACTTGTAATTTACCTCCCTAATATTAAACCTTTTCTCCTAGATTAATTTATGGACCTGATGAATTGAAATTGGATTTTGTGCTTGTGGTTTTTAAAACTCTACCCCAGGTCTTAATTTTATTAAAGTTGCGGTGTAAATTATTATAAAGAAAATAATATATTACCACATCATATGTGTTGCCAAGGAACAAGTTGCTAATGACCAGGGGCATGACAAGGGCCCCAACCATCAGGTCACTGAGTGCAAGGTTAAGCAGAAACGCCGATGTCGTATCACGAAGTCGTCTGCTACAAAATACCGTCACTATTATCACAACGTTGCCACCTATCGCAAACAGACAGAACAACGACATTGTTGTCACTAAAATTATAAGGCCAAGTTTGTTGTCAAAACGGTTGGCATTTGCAACGCTAACTAATGTCCTGTTTTGGTATTCATTGAACATCTCGTCCAAGTGTGGTGCTTTCAAAAAGCACGTCCTTCCACACGTCCTTTTACACGCGTTTGTTTTTCAAGGCTTGATCTTCTGTATCTGTGCCCATGTTGTTGTCTCCCTTATCTGTAACGTTTTGCCAATCATATCCAAATTCATTTTTATGTTGTTGCTCAATCGTACTCAGTAAGTCACAAAATGTAATGAGTGCTGGTTGCTTTAAATTCAGTGCAGGCCTACATCATTTTTATAATCACATTTACGTATGGTACTCCATCACTGATCCTGTTTTCTGCAAAAGTCATCCCTTGAAAACACGTGAGTCTAAGAAACGTTTTACTGAAGTAAATACTGGTCTCGATTATTTTTTTCTATTTCTCCTATTAGTTAAGTCTAATATAAACAGAGATTACATATTCTATTTTGGTACAAGTCTCATTTTGCACATTCATCATATTTTCTGGAAACGATCTCAGTGTCCAATCAATACAGTTTATATGCCCGAAGCGACAGCAGACAAACGTAATTGTAGTATTAATATTTTTATTTTTGGCGATGAATATTTCGTGTTAAAAAGTGCTATCTTTACTATGCATCTACAGTACTCCCTTATTTAAATGTCTCTGCCATTCACTGGGCAGAAATTAAAGTAATCTCATAATTCCGTACGACAGAAACGTTGCACAAGTCTTATAGTGAAACAGCGTATGAGGGATGCAGGGGCGGATCTGAAACTAACACGGGGCCCAAATTTCAAGTCTGAAAAAATCTTTCCAAAAATTGAAAAATAAAGCTCAAAAGGTCCGGTAATGCCCAAAAAGGCCCGCTAATTGGGGCCCTTATTTTGGGCCCAATTATTTTTCCGGGCCCATCTTGAGATAAGTGGGCCCTTAATCCGCCAGTTGGATCGATATGTTGAAATAGGAATTCAGGTATTCTTATCATTTCACCCACTGGAAAGATAAATGATTTGTTGATACGTGTTATATAAATCCGCATTATTACTTTTAGGATCACATTTAATTTGTTAAAAGCATCCATCCCACCACGAGCGAGAGAACATCTGCAATTTACGTTGCAGCTAAGCGTGTATTCGCGAATGCAACTAACGGTTAGCGGCTTTCGGATTAGCCTACTATTTTATGGGCAACTCATTTAAATATATACATGTAAAGTACCTGCCACTATTCCACTCATATTTAAATGAACTCGTCATAAAATAATAGGTTTATCCGATAGCTACTAGCCGTTAGTTGTATACGCGAATACAAACTCCATAAATAACTCAGAATTTTATTTGATCGTCGTATCCGTAAATATAACAGTGATGTATAAAATCAATTTTAATTACATCAAAATAGTCATCAGATTTGAAAAGTTTGAGTTATAAAAAAGGACAAAAATGTGACATACTGTACATAGTGATATATAAAGTTAGTATTGCCAGGACTTTGAAAGGAGGCAGGATACAACACATTCAGCGGATGTCTTGTACAGGGTGGTCAAAAAAGGAAACCATTACACCATTTTCCTCATATATTTGTCATTTTAAGAAATAACGCCCTGATATTTTGCACATTTGTACATCATTCAATTTCCTACCAGCTTATTTTTTCATGACCATCAGATTGATAGTCACAATACAGTTTACAGAACATGCCCCAGTGGCCACTATAGCGCTGTCGGGCCGCCTGCCCCTGTCGTCCAAAATGTCCCTAACTGTGGGGATATGTGTGACTATCAGTCTGATGGTCATGATATTTGGTAGGGTGGTTGGTAGAAATTGAATGATGTACAAATGTGTGAAATATCAGGGAGTTAATTCTTTAAAATGACAAAGATATTAGGAAAATGCAGGGTTTCCATTTTTTTGACCACCCTGTTGACTCATTATCCAGACAATGGTCACATATTGAAATTTTTGACCTCTCATGCGCTTTGCCACGAGTTTGACGTCTGATCTTTTACAGTCGCGAGCAGGCCCGTAGCCATAGATTATTTCAAAATCACCATTCTCAGATTCTGAGCACTTTTCAAGTGATTTTGGCCATTTTCAGTCAAAAATTGTCAAATGTGTTAAGTTACAAATCAAAGCAACTAAACGACCCCCTCCCCCATAGGCGTACGACAGTAAAACATGACACCCTCCATAATTCTCACTCATTGAGTAGGAAGTAGATGCCTGTTGATGGTTTGTCATAACGATGTACTCTTAAGAATTAGATCTTGTACGTTTTTATTAGTAGTCTTGAGATCCCTTGGGATAAAGAGCATATTTTCATTATATATATGTCAGTTAATATGTGATGGATTTTTAAATAAAGAGGCTTTATCTTCGTTAATATCGAAAACGTATTTCTAGAATACAGATTTCAACCATATAAGTTCCACGAAGTTTAGATCACATCCCGTCGACAGGGTGAAAACAGCCTATAAATCTAAATGAACCATTTGTTCCGAGATTACATTAATACGAAGCTTCCCAAGATCAAATACAACTGAAGCTGATGAATCCAATAGAATTCTATAATAAAAGCTACTGATAAGTTATCATAGGTGGAATTACATGGCAATGTCAATCCATTACTGCTCCTACACTGTATTTGTCAATGCCGATAAGGTGAAATAATTAAAGGTGTAGAATGCAGTAATTCCTTTCAAACATATATTGAAGACCGAATCGGAATCTGAGCGAATTAGAAGATTATACCTAGAATAGTGTGGCCCCTTAATGAATGTCGAACCAAAAGCCTTTTGTCGGCTTAGGACATCCCCGGTGATCCGCGGCATAAGTCCGGGCATAAGTCCTTTACTCCATTTGAAATTCCATTAGTTTCCGCTACCGAAACTCAATAAAATGATATTTTCAATTTAGTATTTACTAGAGTGCAAATAATTAATTTATGACAGTAGGCAGATGTCACCTTGGCCTTGAGAAGTCGATTTGCAATTGAACACTAAAGTGCTCTAAAGTTAAATCACCATGATAAGGTTTATTTTTATTTTTACTTATTTTTCGACACATATGTTTCCGACGTAGCCTAATTTGGGGCCCGGCCGTTTTTAAGCCTATTTGTCAAAAATTGGCCTTCAATTTTCATAATTTGGGCCCAATTATTGGATTTAGAGAGCCCAAGCGCCGACATTTTTGACCAGACTTGAAATTTGGACCCCCCCCCCCTCTTATCTGGATCCGCCACTGCCAGTGTTATATTATATTATTATATTATTTATAATATTGGCAGTTCACTATGAAGATTCTACGGGCATTTCTTTAAAACAATAGCTTTCAATGTTGTGAGGTTTAATAATTGCGAACAATGCTGTTTCGAACATCTCGGCGATCGCAAAATCACTGTAGCATAATATCAACTCTCGTATGTTCTCGCTGAGAACGAGACTTCGTTTAAATTCTTGGCGGTTTGATGTATTTTGAAAACATTGCAGCAAATTCAACCAAAGCTGTAATATCTGCAATATGTCATTCTCAAAATCAAAACGCTTCGTTCAGGCTGAAGGTAAGTAACATTTAAGAGTGTGTTTCAAGAGGATAGACACACGCATAATTGTGTAAATCCATGTCGAAGTTGTTGCTTTTCGTTTTTGTTTTCATCTCAAAAAAAAATCAGTTCGATTCTTTCATTTCTACATCTACATCAATAATCCGCAAAAGGCTGATAAGCCCATTTAAAGCAGATTAAGATAAATGACCCACGGACCTGTGCTCACACTGTAGAACCTTCAGAGGATGGTATATTTTGACGTCAAAATCAGCAATTCCTCGGAAACTGGGCGAACTTGGGAAATGGCGATGATAGATCTAGTCTAGCCTAGGTCCAGTACAGTTGGGATCATGAAGAATTAAGTCTTATTAAGTCCAAATTTAGGGGAATTTGTGTCCATAATGACAAATAAGAACTTAAAAAGTTGAAGTAGATATTCACATGTTATGCCGACTCTTCAAATGTTGAGGTGATTTTGTCGCCCGTCAAATAGGCATTATGGATATGCATTAAAAGGAATGTGAATATGACTCAATCCGAATAGCAGTTTTAATTTGTGCGGCCAATGTTGACAGATGGAGCTTACAGTTGGGGACATAAATAAATGACAGGTGGAATTTACAAGAGGCCATACATCAGTGGATGAGATTATACAAAATGTAAAATATACAAATTTTAAGGGATATATATCTAGACAATATTTGAAATTATGGGCTTTCAGACCACCGTAATTAGGAAATGGTGATCGAAAATCGACCTGTCATTTATTTTTGTCCCCAACTATAGGCTATTTTTTTATTTTCATTGTTTCGTAAAACACGTCACTCATTATTTAGGCATGAAACATAGTAGTCTATCTCCAATAGACTGAATTTCCTGAGAATTCATTCTTCTTCTTCGGTCTGAATATTTTCATTCCAAATTTCAAAAAAAATTCCAGACTGAGACTAGAGGACTATAGTCCTCAGATCACGTGTATACATAAGACATGATAAGACATGCTACTTGAATTTATTCTTATGACTGGGGTACTGAGTTTAGTTTTTTTTTCGAATACACGAGTTCTTGTGAATTTGTTCCATCTTAAAGGTATAAAAATCCCCCCTCTATCCGATCCCCCCTCCATCCCAAATTAATTTATTTAGATTATTTTTTGTATAACGCATGGAAACTAACTTTAAAAAGTGAGCAATGTCATAAGTATTGTGAAAATAACATCCCTTATACCTATTTATTACAGGTTGTGAAGACCATTGTTGCCCGATTTATAGCAAAAACATTGACTTTTGCACGTTGGTGATGATGCGCCTTTTTTAATAGGTCTCATATCTTAGAAGGGTATCAGTTCAAAAAATACTAGATGTCCTGACATATTTTGCCATGCACTGCGCCTATTCATTTGGCAATTCAGTTGTAAATTTTCTCTTGAAAAAATAAATCTTCCAAATTTGTTGAAATCACCTAATCCCCCTCCATCATTTTTGTACGATCATCGGGCGTGAGAATTTAATCAAAAAATCTGAATTTGCACAATCTTGGTTTTAATCTCAGGATAAATCTCAATCCACCTCTAAAGGTGGATTACTTTTTAGATAAATTTTATCCAAAGTATAATGTAAATTGGAATTCCCCCTCATAATCCTTGGATCCGACCAATTCACCCAAAATTTTTCAGATAAGTAATCCCAAGATTTATTCCAAAAAGATCAAATTTCAAACCGATATTCATGGCCCCGGGAGCAAATGTCATCAATAGATCTACATGTAGACTTTCCTTAAAGTCCCCGTCTAAAGTTTGAAAATATTTTTTTATAATTCATTTACTATTTGTTAGGACTTAAAAAGTGATTTTAGAGATTTTTGAACAAAAAAAAAAATTTAGAAAAAAAGTTGTGAGCATTTCATTTCTCAAATATTCAAATTTCCCGCCATTTTTTTTAAAAAAAGTTGAAATTTCTTAATCATCAAATATTTTTTAATGCATTTCAAAAAAGATTATCTTTTTAACACCAATGCATAGATTAAACAAAAGACGCACTATTTCAATAATAAAATGTCATATTTAATGGGCCACTTCAATGTTTTAGCTTATCAAAAATATTTTGAAACATTAGTGATGTCACTAAGGTAACAAAAACTTTTTGAAAAATATTGAATTTTTTTTTTTCGATGTCAATCTTTTCTAAATATGCTAGACTTTCATAAAAAACCAATGTTGATTGTCTAACCAGGTCAAAAGAAAGAATAAATTATGTTTTAGATATCATTGTACCATTGGTTTCTATGAGAACTAAAATTTTGAAATGCATTTTTCTCAGAACCATTTTCATGCACTGATAAGTTCATTTCTCGCTTGTTTATCAACCGATTTTCTTAATTTTTTTTGCAAAAAACATGGGAGGATGAATGCTATGCATTGGTATGAATTGTGGCTAATTAGAAGATATGAGTGACCTCTAAAAGTTGGTTTTAAATGAATTCACAAATTTTGGAACAAAAAGTCTATCAAAAACCACTTTTTGAAATTAAAAAAAAAAGTTTCACATATCACACTTTGAAAACATTGGGTAAGACTACAATATAAGCCAAAGTGGTTTAAACTTTACACTGGGCCTTTAAAGTACAAGTAGAATTGAGCAACCTTAAGTAACCTTTGACAAGATGTCGAAAAAAACTAAGTACGGCATGGATGTATTTTCTTAACTGTTCCTTGTGGATCATATGAGGCATGGACAAGATCATTTAGTCAATGGGACTGAATCCAATCCATTTCCATGCTCTAGTTAAGGTCATAGCTACCTTCTTCCAAGGTACAGTGAAACCTGTATATCTGAACACCATGTTATTCAAACACCTGTCAATCTGAGCACTTTTCTCTGTACCAAATTTTTTATCTCCTATTGACTTCATCATGATAAACCATGACATCTCAAATATCAGCCCTGAGATGTTTCACGTGAAACAGAAAGATGCTATGAGTATCAGAATGTATTGACTTACATATTTAATAAAAACTTGAAATGTGAACACCTGCTAATAATATGGACATTTTTGACTGCTTCCAGTAGTGTTCGGTTTAGACAGATGTTTTAATGTTGGCAGGAGACTCAAGTATGGCCCATCCTTAAAGCCCAATGCACACTCACTGGAATTAATGCTCACCATATTTACCATACATTTCACTATATTTACAGCATGTGCTCCTCCCCCTGGTGCTTATGACCCCAAACAAGTAGAAAACCAGGGTGGACCAAATTTTAGTGTTGATACCATTGATCGTTTCAAATCATCTAAGGGTAAGTTTAATTGATCATTTTTATTGGCAATAATAAGATACCTTTGAAATTACCATGGGCCTAAGTGGTCATATGAAACTGACAGCTGGTAATATTTACTAACTTAAAGTCTAATGTCGTACTTTCCACCAATGATTCCATCTTGAATGTAAGTTTATTGAAATACAAAATTCCTGACACTTTTGAGAAAGCACCAATTTTGTGAAAACAAAAGAAAAGGCAACCCTTTAAATTTATTCTTTAAATTATTTAATAGATATTGAATGTTGCATGTAACCCGAATCCACATTCATTAAGCAGATAAGTGGAAACCATACTGCTCTTTCTTAAAGATATGGAACCCTTAAAGGTTCTCAATTTCCATATTTAAAAAATGACCCTCAGAGTTCTCTAAAAAACTTTGAAATTTTAGTTATCTTTGAAAAGTGACCCTTAGTTCGAGTGGACCCATAGAGCCTATTTTATAAAATCATGAAAAGCGAAATATCTTTACTTGTATTGGCAAATAATATTTTCTTTTACTGGACATATTATCAATTGTATACTTAACAAAAACTTAACAAAACAGAGCCTGTGTTAACGCCGTTTTTTACCGTTTTTACGCATATTTGATCAAGTCTGACACAGAATTTTCAACTCATTACCATCCAAAACATGTCAATTAAATTGCCGATGTGGAAAACGTTCAAAATCTTTTAATGACTGGTTTAAGAGAAACATCTGTTCAAAAAGTCCACCATATCGATACCACTCCTTTAATAACAAATAGTATAAGGTAAAGTGTTCAAGTCACAGGTCAAAGTTATTATCAAAAACTTGTGTGGGGTACTATACTATTGCTTCAATAACGGTATTTATTATTACTTACAGAGAATATTCCTGGACCAGGTGCGTTTGACTTGAGTACTTGTAGTATTGGTAATGGATGTGCAATTACCCCTAGAGCTACTCCACAAAAGAAACTATTCGTTGAACCGAGTGCTGTTAGTGGAGCCAAGGTCAGTACAAAGCTATATATTCAAGGGTTTTATTATCAGTAGATATTGATCTTATAATTCATACTAAAACATTTTCTTTATTTTACTTTTAAATTCTATTGTACAAATTTATACAATCTTTCTTGATTATGAAAACTAAGAACTGGGAATTTTCTGGGACGTCCGTGTACATTTTTAGAAACCCATTTTACTGATTTGTTACAATATTGTTCGCAACTATGTTGGTTTTTCTTTTTCCTTAAATAACATTCTTTTATGAGGAAATCTTTTTACTTGTAGAAAAAACTTCCAGGGAAGTCTGCACCAGAATTACAGAAGATAAGAGAACTGGAGAAACAGGTAGTTATTCCAACATTTTGAAAAAAGATATCCTAAAGCGTGCAAATCTAAAATCTGCAAATCTTTAGAACCGTCAAATAGTATAGAATTATTGTAATTTGTAATATATAAATAACTATAATAACTATTATGCAATTGATTAACTCAATTTCATTTGTTTTGCCTGTTTACCAAAATTCCAATGAACCCCAGTTAATCATATTAAAATGAGATAATAAATGGGTAAAATCAATTCCTTTAATTAATTTTTCAAGATTAAAAAATTGCTGGCAGAGCGAGTAGAACAGGACAAGATTCTGAATTCACGAGATGAAGAATTAAAAACTCTGGATGGAAAATTGAAACTGGCTCTTAAAGAGAAAAGTTCTCTTGAGGCAAGCATTGCCCAACATAGAAAGGAGATTCAGCAGTTAGCAAAGAGCAAAGACCTCTTGAAGAACAAGGTAAGAAAACTGAATGGAACATTTTGATTTTTTCTTATTTTTAAATTTTTGTATTCCCTCAAATTAGAATTCATATACAATTCATGTACAGCAGTTATCAAAGAGCAAAGACCTCTTGAAGAAATCTGAATGTAACAGTTTTATTTTTTCCTATTTTTTTAAATGTTTATCTTCCCTCAATTAGAAATCATGTACAATTTTGCCAAAGTTGAATTAAGAAATGTTTGCGGCAAAATGATTAAAAGTAATGATAAACTCCTCTGTTCGGCAGATAGGGAAGCAAAATATATTTATTATTTATTTAGATTTCTTGCAAATATACATTAACAAAATCCTACATACAATAATTACAATTACAGAGATTAGGATGTAATATGGGTTTACCATTCATTTGTAAATACTAAATATCATGAGATTGCCATTTTCTACACAAGCTAAAAAAAAACCTGTAGTAGTTTTCATGGTGCCAGCTGATCTTGCTATTAAAGTGTCTTTCTAAGACTTACAAGGAGAAATATGAGATGAAAGTAGCAGACAAAAGGAATTTTATCAAAATTGCTTGTTCTTTAGAGGAGTTCCAAATATTTTATTGTCTGTTGTTCTCATTCATTTCTCTACTGTTAGGAATTCTAGGGAAAACCTTAACCAATATTTGTAATTGTCCAATTGTTATTATTATATATTTTGGAATTTCATATACTCTGAAATAACTACAGGTTGAGGCAGTAGATACGAACCAAAACAAGAAAGAGGGCAGACTGCAGGAAGACCTTAAGCAGCTACAGGGTGAGCTGTACAATAAAGATAGGGAAATATGTGATGTCAGGGACAAGATGGACTATACAGTGAAAGTGATGCAGGCTGATCTTGAGGCTTCTAACAGTAATGTCAGAGCATTAGAGGAACGCAACAAAGCATTAGGTGAATTATTATTGTGTTATTCTTACTGACATCTTTTTTTTATGAGTGGCAACGTGTAACAAATTGTATAGTTTCTGTAACCATTTCCAATAATTCACCATTTGGTGGTGTTTTGTCATGCTAGGGCCAAATATATTTGTATTTATTTGGATGTGTCACATTTCTTAAGAAATAGGACAAGAGTATAAGCATTTTTTGGCAGAACTTGCTTTTTACTTAGCAGTCTAGATTTGCCCTTTTGGACTTCCTATTTTCAATGCATTTTTTGGGCAAGTTGTCTCATCGGCAAGTCACAAGAAAAGACCAATTAGGTATTTCATCTTCAGAATACGAAGAGTAATAATTCAATATTTCATACCGATTATTAGAGTTGTGATATTTATTGCAATTTGTTGATTATCTTGGACTTGATGTATTTCTAGAGGAGAGTTACCAACAAGTGGTAAAAGACAATGAAGGGTTGGAGGATGAAACCACAAAAATGTATGGTAAGATATTTAAGAACAACTTGATAATGACTGTTATATACATTGCGTGATATTATAAGTATATTTGATTTATTTTAAGATTTACTTTAAAGCATGGGCTTCCTCTCTCTCTTGAAAACCCATCTTTTAAGCCATCAAAAGTTTTGTATAATGTTAATATGTGCTTGGCCTAATTTAATTAAATCATTTGATACTGTTATTTTCTCTTTGACTCAAAAGTTGCCATAATTAAAAAATTAAAATTTTCTTGCCCTAATAGATTGCCCAAAATTGAGACATTGATATAGTCTCCAAATTTTTGTGGACAGGGTATGGCAGTTGATGTTTGGCAGTCAGCATTGGGTGTCTGTAACAAATGGGAGGTAGTGACACTTTGCATTTTAATGCCTTGTTGATCATTTGTAAATGTTGTTTTTCAATGTTTTAGCTATATCTGGGGAATTGAGGATGCAGCTTCAGCAGGCGCATCAGGAAAATGAGGTATTCGCAAATTTAATGTTCAAAATATCTATTTTTAGCCAAAATAATAGGTTCCTCTAAGATGACTCATCGATATGAGAACTCTCGGGTTGAAAGCTTCAGGCTAACCCAAATAGATTCCTGCCATATAACTTTTTTAATTTAAACACAATCACTTCATTCGCAACCGAATCACTCTCAACCCAAATGGTCATTTCTCTAATCCAAATTGAACCATACCAGTGTATTGGATTTTTTCAACCCGTCTCACCCCAAGTTTTACCCATTAATAAATTGTGTTACATAAAAACAGAGGCCAGAATATTGTTATTTATACATAAAACAGAGCTGTGAATTTGAAAAGCATCATAAGAAAATGTTTGTTTCAGACTCTGAACTCGAAGGTTGAACATATCATAGACTCCACTAACGAAAAGATCAAGAACATTTCGCAGGAGTTTGAGAAAATATCCGAAAAGAAAGACTGGTATGAACAAGCCCTACATACCATGCAGGAAAATCTAACTGACTCTACAAATTGTCAGAATGCACTTAGGGACTATAGGTAAGGCCTGTTTTGAACTTGTTAGCAACTCCTATTAATATATCAGGTTACATCCACACTTTAACATGGCAGAGAAACTCTGGATTAGTAATTAATTAATATAATTAACAACATTGCTTGATACTTGATTTTGACTGACTAAGCTTGTGGGTAATTAAATTTGAAAAATGTTGTTAATGCTTTTAATTGCAACCCAACAAAATGATTTTGTGAAAATGTCAAAAATTCTGTTATTTTGGCTGTTCCATCAATCTGCCTCTTATTTATACCCCCAATGTCCCTTTTTAAGGTACAAGTCTTTCAAGCTTTAATAGAGAGCTTTCGATCTAAGTTATTTGGAATATGTATACGCAAAGTTGTACTTGTACAAGTCAGGTATAACACTGGGGAGGAACTCTGGAAACAAAGATAGGTTGATTTCATCCTTCAAATCACAACAAAATATTTGGCAAGTATGTAAATCGTGAGTTCCGGTTTCAAAATATGATTGCATCTTAGAAATTAATTCTCCTATTGCTGGGATATTCACAAATCAATTCCTTCGTAAATAGGAAACAAGGAAATTTTTTCTAATGAAATGTATTTTCCTGGTTTCTTTGAGAAACCTCTCTCCCCAGTGGTGTTTACGTCATTTAAAAGTTGAAATTGCAGTATAAGCTCTCTCTATTAATACAGGAAAGGTTTATTTCCAAGTCTATTGATACATCAATATGAGCTACAGGCCCGTAGTCAGGGCCAAAAATTATTTCAAAATAATGCAGTTTTTCACCATTTTGAGAACTTCTCAAGTGATTTTAGCCATATTTGGGAAATGTAGCATTAAGAACACAACTTGCAATGGCCTTCTAGTTTAGCTGTATTTCTTTATATTTGTAGGGATGCAATGTCTGTGCAATTAGACGACCTTGAAGACACAGTTAAGATGCTAAAAGAGGAAAAGTTTGACGATGAGGAGACAATTAGGTAAATATGAATTTTTCTAATTAAATGGGACTACCAGGGATTTATTAACAGAAACTTTGTAAAAGTTAAGAATTTGTAAACCCATTGTTCCCTTACTTAATTGTCATCATATTCATAGTAACAACAATTGCGATTGTTGTTCCTAAGTTACTTTACGAAGTTTCTGGTTATAAATGAACCCCAGGTTAATATTTCGATATTGTCTCAAAAAATATCATATTTCAGATTGCCTTTCAAAAATTGATGTTCATTTGGGTGGATTATTCTACTGCAGCCAAAATGATAAATGCAATTATTCAATAAATCAAATATAAAATACCAAATAATAGTCATAGCTTACTTGTTTTAATATTTTATTAAGTCTGATAATGGTCCATTTGCTCAAATGCGGTACAAATATTTTGCATTTTTATTTTCCAATTGTTATCCAAGACATAAAAAATGTAACTCCAGATTGGGAGATATTGGCCGGGAGATAAACCCATCTCTAAGATAAACTGACAAATCAACCTTGTCCAAAGTGGCAAATCACTTTTATGATATCCTTCACTTAAACAGTTACAATTTCATAAACATCTAAAACTGAGTATACATGATATAATAGATACGATATTGTAATATTGGTAAGCTTTTACTAAAATATGGCATAATGTCGCTTATACCATGGTCAGAACAATATTAGCAAGTGGTGAAAGGTGAGCTGTTGCAACAGGCTTTATTTCCCCTGTTACCTGTAGGAATCCTTTCATATTTTCACATGTTGTAGAGCACCCTATGTATAGTCTGTCACGTGACCTTATGTATGATGGGTGGGGTCTTTCCACTTCAGGTTTATAATGTAACTTTTAACATGGTTTTAGGCTTTGTATCTCTGTGAAACTTGTCCGGTATCATCAATGTCTAAAGACGATTTAATTCTCCAAATATCCCTTTTATGCGATTCCTGGTTAAAGAGAAATTCACACTTTTGTGTCTCGGAAAATGATGTGCTGCTAGCGCATCGTTAAATACAGACCTTCCCAGGCAGAATATTGTCTGTTTTTCACTCATATCATTGAATAATTTCGAGCATCTTGGTTACCACCATCAGGATGGATTGCATATCAAGCCTAATATCAGTCCCGAGTATATATTATTCACAGGAAAATTCTCCCGAGGCTTCAAATTGTTTTCACATTCAGATTACATTCCAGGTGACTCACATTAGCACTGTTTTTAGTAACCAATTTCAACAGTTATATACACAAAAACATGAAATACGTTAATATTTCCCAAGATTAAGTTATTGTTTTCTCAATTATTCAGAAGATTTTTGAGGTAGACATTTTTGAGGTACATCTTGACCATGATATATAAAGCTTGTTATTCACTCAACGAGATGATAACATAGGAATATCCTATGGTTTAGAAAAAATATCATTTATATCCATGAGACCATTAAAAAGTGATATTTGATGGTTTCAAAAGTGATATTCAATGGTTTGGAATTTTTTTGCCAAAATATGATATCTTGACCCACATATCAAATATATCTTCACATGATATTCAATCTGTATCTTTGCAACCCTAGGATAAATAAGGGAGGTTTTGGATATGGGGTTTATCTAGAGGGAGAAATGCATATTTACCTGAGGGACCGCAGGGACCGAAGGTAGATGTGCATATCTCACAAGGTATAAACCCCATATCCAAACCAACCGTACATAACTGCTTTATCCTATAACCAGTAGTATAGAGTTTTCTCTTTTTTTAATTTTGTCAATTTTTTTTTCAAGATTTTTTTTCAAAATTGTTTTTCAAATTTATTTTCAACAATTCTTTTTTCAAATTTTTTTTCAAAATGAAAAGATATGCCCTGGAGCAGGAGATATGGAGGTTCTGGATATGGAAACCTCAAAATCAGGATATGGGATATATCTTATAAACTTATTTCCCTAAAACTCTACTGGGCAAAGGATAATGGTTTTTATGTCACCACCAAAAGTGGTGACATATTGTTATGGTCTCCGTTTTTTGCGACGGCGGTTGGCGGTTGGTGGTTGGAGGTTGGCGTCCGGCGTCCGGCGTCTGTAACAATTTCTTACAACTTCCTATAACTTAACAAATACTGTTTAGACTGACTTCAATTTTTTTCTAAATCATCTACATGTTCTCAGAAGTTCAAATCTGACTTTAGATTTGACATTTGACCTTCAATGACCTTCTCAAGGTCAAAAAGGTCTTTTTTCAACTTGCTTCACATTGACTAAAGTTTTTTTCAAAATCATCTACATGTTCTCAGAAATTCAAATCTGACTTTAGATTTGACATTTGACCTTCAAATCTGACTTAAGATTTGACATTTGACCTTCAATGACCTTCTCAAGGTCAAAAAAGGTCAAAAAGGTCTGTTTTCAACTTGCTTCAAATTGACTAAATTTTTTTTTCAAAATCATCTACGTGTTCTCAGAAATTCAAATCTGACTTAAGATTTGACATTTGACCTTCAATGACCTTCTCAAGGTCAAAAAAGGTCAAAAAGGTCTGTTTTCAACTTGCTTCAAATTGACTAAAAAAAAATTTCAAAATCATCTACGTGTTCTCAGAAATTCAAATCTGACTTTAGATTTGACTTAAGATTTGACATTTGACCTTCAATGACCTTCTCAAAGTCTAAAAAGGTCAAAAAGGTCTTTTTTCAACTTGCTTCAAATTGACTAAATTTTTTTTTCAAAATCATCTACATGTTCTCAGAAATTCAAATCTGACTTTAGATTTGACATTTGACCTTCAATGACCTTCTCAAAGTCAAAAAAGGTCAAAAAGGTCTTTTTTCAACTTGCTTCAAATTGACTAAATTTTTTTTCAAAATCATCTACATGTTCTCAGAAATTCAAATCTGACTTTAGATTTGACATTTGACCTTTAATGACCTTCTCAAGGTCAAAAAAGGTCAAAAAGGTCTGTTTTCAACTTGCTTCAAATTGACCAAATTTTTTTTCAAAATCATCTACATCTTTTCAAAAGTTCAAATCTGACTTTAGATTTGACCTTTGACCTTCTCAAGGTCAAAAGGTATTTTCCAACTTGCTTTAAATTGACCAAATTGTTTTAGGTGGTGACATTTTGTCATGTTAATGCCTTGTTATCCCATGATATTACTACTTCCCGGTAAATAACACCCAGGAATAATTTTGATATTGAAAAAAATTGTTGTATAGTCCCGCCTAATCTCGCTCAAGAAAATGGTATTCACCTCCCGGGAATTTTTGATAAACAGAGCTTCCTATTTCGTTCAGTTGAGCGTGCTATAATGATGTCCTAATGTGAGAAATATATTTTCCAAACAACGTAACCCTACTATCACACCAAACTAGTTCTCACTGCGTTCTCGAAAACGGGCATAAACTGTGCACGAACGGATTTGACGTACTAAGAACCCACTAAGAACCGTTTGGAATCTGTTTACAAACTTCATGAAACTACTAGAACGAGTAGGTCCTCCAGCACTTAGAGCATGCTCAAAATTTTCTGGTGATCGTCAAAACGTTGCCGAATCGGTTTTAAACTGTGTGCGAACTGAATGAATGTTCTACGGTCTGTTTAAGAACTTCATGGAATTTCCCGGACGGGGTATGTGATTTAGAATTTTGAATCGATTCAAAATTCGATGGCGACCATACTGTTCTGTAATCAGGTCATGATGGCCTTCTAGACTAAGGAACGGTTTATACTACGTTGCACACCGACGTGGTGCGACCTGAACGAACTGCGAATGAGATGGACGTATTGAAGTCTGTTTATGAACGAAGTAGCTAATTATTTTAGACATATATCCCGACCACAGCCAGATTGAGCCCGTTTTACGACATTTTCGTAGGACTGGCAAGAACGGGTAAGAACTAGTTTGGTGTGATAGGGGGGTAAGGAGAATGAAGCTATAAAAGCTTATTATACAAATAGAAGGCGAGTTGTACCTTCATCGTCATGCTCTGACACAGTCAGCGTCATAGAAATTTGAGCAATAAGTGAACGCCCTGATGAACTTGTACACCATATTGTTGATATTTTGGTTTTGATGTTTTAAGTTAATGTTATATGATAATTTTTTATGTTTTAAAATGTCATTAAGTTAAGTCATATTTTGTAGACTAAATAATATAGCCTGGTTTTGTTTCATATAAAAATCAGATACGGATATTGAACTTATGATTTTATGGAGAGAGTTCTGGATATCATGGGATAAAAAGCTTATTTACTGGTTGGTTTCAATATGGGTTCCTTGGAATAAAACCCATATTGAATCCCTCCCAGTAAATAACCTCTATGTATTCCTTGAAAAATATTGATATTATCCTTGCAGTATTCCCCTTTTAAAATCCGTCCTAGTTGTGATGTAATGTTATACATCAAAAGAACATTTCGACCCTACTTTGACCTATTTTTCTTTCAGAAATGATCTAGATAAATGTCATTTAGTATCTTTTTGATTTATTGTCCAAATTTTTCTGTTGCAAGTTTCTTCAAGCCATTACGATCAATCTTTCCATTCATAAGTGTAGGTATCTCATCTAACATGAGGAAATACCTCGGTGCACTGTTCAGACCATCCGCTGTGAAGTCTCCAAACACTTCAGCACACCATTCTTTGATTTCCGCCTCAGTTAGCATCTGTCCATCTTTGACCTTGATACATGCGCAGAGTTCCTCAAAAAGTCGAGGGTCAGGAACACCAACTACTTGGACTTGATGGATGCTCGGGTGCTCAACGAGTATATTTTCTATCTTACTTGGTTGAACAATAACGGTACCCCGTTTGATGAATTCCTTAAGGCGGCCCACGATTGTGACATAACCATATTTGGTTAGAGTGCCAATGTCCCCTGTGTGGAGCCAACCATATTGATCGATCACTTCTCTTGTTTTCTCCTCATCGTTAAAGTAGCCATGGAATATATTTGGTCCCCTGGTGCATATTTCCCCCTGGGTATCAATGGGTACAATCTTGTTATCTTTATCTCTTATGCTGATCTCAACATGGGCAACCCCGTATCCAACAGTTACATGCTGCTTGGTGAAGTCAGCATGGGGAAACATACAGGTAATCCCTCCACCTTCTGTCATACCTAAAAAATACAACATTATGAGATTTATTGAATAGATATATAGTGTATGTTATGCATGAACGGACTTTTGTTCGCTTAAGATAAAGATTTTACTTAATTGACAGCGCTTTAACCCATTTCAAGAAGTTTACTATTTGGTTGGAATATCACACACATACATACCATAGCCAATAGTCACCCCAACACCCAATATTGTTTTGACACTCTCGATGAGAACTGGATCTATTCTCTGGCCTCCTGTGAGTATGACCTTTAATGAGGAAATGCTATATTTCTTGCGCTCTTCAGTTTCCATGTTTATAACAATCATACATTAGATACGGCATTAAAAGAGCAATGTTTACTTTCTCATCCCGGATAAGCTGTAAGATGGTCTCTGGCCCAGAATTCTTCACTGTTTGTTTCACATCGATTGTTACTATTGTGTATTCATTTGCTAAGGCAAATGTAAATGATACTGCACCCCCTGCCCAGGACATTGGACGATCATTGAACATAATGGTGCCTTTGGAATGAGCTGTCCTGAGACCGAAGCAACGAGCCATGTGAATAATGACTCTATTGGGCATTGGGCAGTACTTAGGCTTTCCCGTGCTTCCTGAAGTAAGGCCAATCCACACAGCATCATCCATAGAGATATTGGCATTTCTCAATAGTATTCCTGATTTCTTCTCAACAGATGTCTCCTTCAGTAAATCGTTGAAATCGATAGCACCCTTTAGAACATCATCCGTGATCAGAATTATGTGTTGCAGGGAAGGCATCGCATCATCACATTCATCGTTTAATACTTTCCCGAATAGTTTCAGCACAAGATCTCTTTGAGCTTCATCGCCAATGTGTAATATGATCACCTTGATTTCAGTGTCCTTGATTTTAACCTCTATGTCTTTCCCGCTTTTAAGGTCGTATGTCAGGAATACTGGTAGCGCACCACAATGTATTAACCCTCCAACAGTGATCACGACTTCTTCACAGTTGGGTATGATCACACCAACTTTATCACGAGGGTTCACGCCCAATTCTGCCATTGATACAGCGAAGTTCTCCGACATAGCCACCCATCTTTTAAATGTGATGCTGCTCTTGCGAGATGCGTCAGGATTCATGAATACAAATGCCTCTTGTTCGCTGTCCTTCAAATTGCGCATCAAGTCATACATGGTGTCAGATGTAATTGCATGGTTAGATGCAACGTGGATATAGCTTTTTTCTAATGGTTCCTTTATAGGCTCCACATCAGCTCCAGTCACCTCTATGTATTCCATACTTGTAGCTAGAAAGAATTATTGCCTATGTAACATTTACCATTAAGTTAAATAAAGGGGCAGGTACATTATTGCAAGCTTTTTTAGAAAGCTCTTACTTAAGTTCAAATAATTATTTGACCACAAAGACAAATGCGTTTGTTTGGCCAATATGTCATCTTCAATAAGGGGCTATAGAATGAAAGTAAAGTCGGACGGATTATCTCTTAAGCTGTCATTAATTGCACAGAAAGTTTATATTATGGATCCCATAGGTCAGTATTCAAGAAACAATCCATAAAGTATGTATGGATAACCTATCAATTTCAGCATTAAGAAGTTGAAATTCATTTCAAAGCTTCAAAAAGGGGAAATCCACTTATATATTTTTAAGATCCATAATGTTTCAAGTAAAGAGATCAGCTGAAATAATGTTTATCGGGGGGGGGGGGGGTTTCTTAGTTAATAGATAATAAAAATAGATGTAAATCTTGATTAAATATCCAAACTTAAATATATTTTGACACTGATCTATGATTGTTGCACCTTTAACCGCTGCCAACAATTTATTTAGTCAATGTTTATCTAATAGAGACATAAGTATCAAAATACTAATACACATTGTTAAAATTATGTCAGTTTAAATAAATAAATAATAAATTACCTCGTTGTATGCTCCGTTTTATAAGGTACCTGGTAGTTCACTAGCTGGGTGAATGTATTATAGTATTATCTTAAACATGTCTATAAGAGGTCAAAATGATGAGTTATATTTAAAGAGTAGCTACTTGATCTCTCAACTGTCTGCTTGTTCATGTGGTATATCACTTGTCATGTTCTAAAGTTGATAAGTACTGTAAATCAATTGTTATCTATTAAATGTCAATACAATTGATGTGCAGTTTATGGTGTTTAAACTGCTTCTTTATTCGGTACATTAATATTCCATAAATACCAAATAAAAGAAACAATTTACCAAACCTTTACCCAATCTATCGAATGTTTTTTTATTTTATCAAATGTAATAATCTATACAATTTATATTCGCTAAATAGTTTCACTTGTTCTTTGTATTGACATTCACATTTGATATGTATACATGTATTTGTGTGATGCAGCGAATCAATTTGTTTTCCTTAATGCACGTATAATTAAATTAATTATTTGTACATTCGGTATTTAAATTATTTATATTCGGTAAATACCGAATGCCACATTCGATAAATTTCGTTATTTTTCGATAATTTACGAGACTTTCAGTCACGTGATATATTTGTACGATGTATAATAGCTGCGCGGCCATTTTGCAAATCTCGAAGTCACGTGACAAAATATCGAACAACAACGCAAGTTATCGAATATTACTTTATTGCATTCGGTAAATATCAAATTAGCTTTCGGTAAATAGCAAATTAGCTTTCGATAAAATGCATTAACTATGTCATAGAAAAATAAACCATTTGGTAAATATAGGCAAACTTATTTCGGTAGGGTTCAAATAGAAATTCAATATTGTGCATATAATGTGATACTCTTAAGGAATACCATAACAATTTACGCAAAAAATATCATTTAACGAATGAAATATGTAATTTAATGCACATAGTATTAAGTAATTGGCTATTTTGAAAACTTAATTTGCTGTAACAAACATATAAACGTTTTTACCGAATGGAAAAATGATTTAGCGAATATGAATGTTTCATATATTGAATATGTTTGAATTTAATGAATAAAGAAGCAAAAATAATGCCATAGCAGTTATTCACATGTAAAAGTATTTGAACTCAAAAATCACTGAGTCACCTTATGTGAACATGTATGTGTTGATTGCATTCAAAAAAGAGATTTTCTAACTTTGTGAAAACAGCGAAACATGTGTCAACACCTAGAAGTGGAAAATACCATGGAATATTTTATATATTTTAGGGGAAAGTATAGAGAAAATAAAAACATGTAATATAAGAAAGAAAATTGTTAGTAGAAGAGGGGTGACAAATAAATCAGAAGCCCATTGGAAAATCAATATGGTGAGATCCCATTTAAGTTAATGTATACTTTTTAAGACAAATGTAAATCATAAAGTAAAGGAATTCATATATAAAGTAATAAATGGTGCAATAGAAATAGAAAGAAGATTGAAAAAACAAAAATTATCTGATGGAATGTGTAAAGTTTGTAAAAATGTTGAGGAATCACAAGAACACCTTTTTTTAGAATGTAAATTCAAAAATGAATGGGAAAATTTAGAAAGTACTAATTTAATTGAAAGAGATAAAATGCTTTTTTACTTTAGAGAAGATAGCTCATTAGAAAACATGATAGAGATTAATAGTGAAATTTTTATTATTAAACGGAAAATATGGTTAAAAAGATGTGTAGAAATTTTTAATTAAGAAAATGTATTTAGATTTTAAACTATAATAGTATTATGTACATGGTGGGTAACAGTGTTTTTTTGGGATTTCGCAGATATATTGATTTGTTGTATTGAATGTATTGAAATGTTATATTGAATGTAGTAAATGGATCGAATAAGTGTATTGAATAAATAAAAAAAAAAAAAAAAAAGTGTGTGAGCTGAAAATATTTGAAGATGAAGTTTTGTGTTACACATATTTTTGTATAATAAAATTTATACATATATTAATTATATATATGAAATATTAAAATAAAATAAAAAAATATATCCACATGGTGGTTTATTAAAAAAATATAACATAGAACAATCTGATTTATGTAAACTATGTAACGAAGTTGATAATATTGAACACTTTTTTATACATTGTAATGCAATTAAAAATATTTGGAAAGATGTAGCTTTGAATGATTATGAAAAAATAGGGATGGGAATATTAGATAAAAATTTATTATACAAGTCACTTGTAATAAAGAAAACTATACATGACTTTAAGTTTTCAAAGAATGAGAGAAAAAATATATCTGTAATGTTTGAATATGAAAAATATGTTAGAAACATTGTTGATTGAGAAAATGTATTTAAAGTTTTTGAAATATTTCATTTTGAAATATTGATTTGTATGCTAATGAATGATAGAAATAAATTAAAAAAAAACAAAAAAAAACCACCTAGAAGTGGAACACCTCACAAGTAGAAAACTTTTTAGAGGTACCAAAGGTGTTCCACTTAGACATGTTTTACTGTATAAGTTGTGGAGATAGGGGAGAATTTCATTTAGCTTACCTCAGCTGTGAAGGAATTTCCCAAATAGCCAACTGCTTTCAAAATGTAAAATTTTTTATCAGTTTTGTCCAGGTTTTATAATACATGAGTCTGTAACATTGCTGTAGATTTTCCTGTCTTTCTATTGCTTTTCTTTTGTTTTAGGCATTTGAAAGGAGAATTGTTTGCCGTCAGTGATCTCCTTAAGCAAAGAGAGGAGGAAATGGAAGAATTACTCAAGTAAGATTTATTTCAAATGATTCATTACAGTGATCCCCCTTGCATTAAAGCAAGTAAGGGCAGCACCCAGCTGCAATTTGATATTTGACTTGCACCCACCTGAGAATCCATTTGCACTCACTTGAAAATGAGAAAAATCATGAAAAATAGGCATATTTTGACCTATTTTGTCTGAATTGTGAAAATGAGAATTTTACACCCACTTGGGAAAAAATCATTTGGAGATCACCGGATTAGTTTAAAAAACTTAATGATTTAAAAACGTAGATACAGTGATCTTGCCAGCATTTGAACAATAGACTATTATTTTTTTTTTTTTTTTTTTTTTTTTTTTTTTTTTTTTTTTTTTATTCAAGTTCTCATTTAATACATTTCAAGTACAATATATAAAAGAATACAAATGTAATTTCACAAAAGTTTTATATGTAGAAATATGTACTATATGTTTAAATAGATATAATTTTACATGATCTTACAACTTGAACTTCATTCATACCCATTCAAATTCATTCATTCATGCATTCTCCCACTCACACGTTGACTTTTACATTGGTATATCTTTTCCATTTGTTTTTATCAAACGAAACAGAAAATGTGGTGTTTTATTTATTTTTATTTATAAAAGTCTATATAGTGCATTTACATCAATACCCCTTTGATCTAGGTGCTTAATGCTGTCTAGATACACTCTTAGATAATTGATAAATTTGAAAAAGTAAGGTATTTCACTTTCTAAAAATGATTTGTATAAAATATATTTCACAATCAGTATACATAAGTTAAGCTCATTGACTTTCTCTTCGTTCCGGATGATACCTAATAAAATATTATTTTCAGTAACCTTTGATTCTTTATTTACTTTTTGTTTCCACCATTCAATAAATTGTTTCCATATATCTTTTGTTATTCTACAGTTCACGAGCATGTGCTTCATGGTATGGGTTTCATCACACCATGGGCATTTGTCTGTCTGTGTAATGTTCATCATTTTTAACTTATTGTTGCATATTAATGTATTTGTCAATATTTTGTACTGGAAACTCCAAATTTTTGTTTCATATGTTACCTTTTTGGCAAGCGTATAATAGTGTTTCATTTCTGTTTCCTTTACATCATTTTCTTGAATCCATTTTCTCAAAGATGTAGGTTTTTCTACCTCTTTTTCAAGGATTTTGTTATATATTGTTTTACATGTCAATTGACTGGGAAGCAGTAATGTTTTAATTGTGCATTTGTTTTTCAATTTGTTATTTTTAAGATTTTTCCATGTTTTGGGAATAGCGCTAAGTATACTCGCATATTTCAAAAAGTCTATATATGAATGCTAAATTTTTGTTCCAGTTCTGTCTTAGATAAGAAGTTGTCATTTCTGTCTAAGATATCATGAATTTTAACAATACCTGCTTGATGCCATTTCTTGAAGTACAGCATTTTATTATTGACTAAAATATTTTTATTATTCCATATGATTTCATTTTCAACATCATCCCAATTATTAACATCATGATGAGTTACTTCTGCCCATGTTTCTAGCATTGTCAAATAAAATTTAGGAATTTCGTTATAGTTTTGAAAATACTTTATATGGTAGTTACACTTAGTGAGGAACTCAATTCCACCATGTTGTTTAATGAATAAATTTGGAATTTCTTTCCAGGATGATTGTTCTTTGTCTATCAATCGTTTTATCCAAGTGCATTTTAGGGATCTATCCATTATGATATAATCTTTCATTTTTAATCCGCCTTGTTCAATTTCAGCAATAATTGATTTTCTCTTTACTTTTGGTGGTTTCTTTTTCCAAACAAATTCAAAAATTGTTTTATTTATTTCTTGTAAAATCGGGGGTGGTATATGCATAACTGAGCTTACATATGTTAACTGAGAAATACCTAAAGATTTGATAATTTGAATTCTGCCTATTATTGTTAAATTTCTCAAGTTCCATAATCTTATTTTATTTTTCATTTCTTCAATTTTCTTTGCGATGTTCAATTTTGATCTATCATCTGCATCATAGGTAAATGTTATTCCTAGAGCTTTTACACTAGTTTTTGATTTGATTCCATTTATATCTTGCTGTTTTTCCCGATCCCTTCCTATCCACATTACTTCAGTCTTTTCTTTGTTAATTTCTAGACCAGAACATTTTCCAAATTTTTCAACTAAATTTAAAGCATTATTTGTTGACTCCTGATCATTCAAAAATATGGTAGTGTCATCAGCATACTGACAAAGTTTGACTTCACATTCATCTTTAATTGGAATTCCTTTTATGCTCTGATCGGCTCTTATAGCAATACTTAATAATTCGGCAACTAGTATAAAAATTACACCAGAGAGTGGGTCGCCTTGGCGAACTCCCCTTTCCAATTGGAACCATTCAGATGTGAAGCCATTATTTATAACACAACTCTGTGGTTTTGCATATATAGCTCTGACATAATTTATGACTGTTTCCCCAAAATTAAATTTTTCTAATGTGTTTATCATAAACTTCCAGTCAATACTATCAAATGCTTTCTTATAGTCAATTAAAAGAAGAAGACCTTGAATGTTGTTCGTTTTTGTGTAGTCTAGCATATCATATATAAGTCTAATACTTTGTCCTATATATCTATTTTTCACATACCCAACTTGATCATTATGTATTAATTTCGGTAAAATATCTCTGAAACGCTCACTTATAGTTTTAGTAAATATTTTATAGTCCACGTTTAACAGAGTTAGTGGTCGCCAATTTGTTAGATGTTGCCTATTTTTACCTTTTTTTGGAATAAGAGATATGATGCCTCTATTTTGAGATATGGAGAGTTCTCCTTTAATAAGTGAATAGTTAAAACTGTCAGTCATTTCTATTTTAATATCTTCCCAAAATGTGCAATAGAATTCAGCTGTAAGCCCATCTGTGCCAGGAGTTTTGTTCTTTTTGAAAGTTTTTAATGATTTAAAGCATTCCTCCCATGTAATTCTCTTATCGCAAATTTCCTTGTCTGTATTATTGATTGTTGGAATTTCATTTTGTAGAAATATATTAGAATATTCACCATCAGGATCATTGTTCTTTTTACTGTATAAATCTTTGTAAAATTCTTTTTCTGTTTTTAATACTTGTTCAGGGTCATTAATTAATATACCACGATTATCATAAATAGAATTTATTACCTTATTTGAGTAATTGTGTTTTTCTAAATTGAGAAAATATTTGCTTGAACGTTCACCATACTCACACCACCTTGCTTTGGATCTCATGATGCTACTTTGTGTTTTTCTATCCTGTATTAGTTCTACTTTAAGTTTGCATGCATTATATTTGTTAAGTGTGTCAGTGTTATTATTTTTGTCAAGCGCAACTTGAGCTTCATTTAAGTCTTTCAGTGCTCTTTCCTCTTCTAGTCTGGATTCTTTTGATTTTGTCTTACTATATTTTTGACATACTGCTCTAATATCTGTTTTTATAAGATCCCATTTTAATCCCAAATCTTGAATCTCTCTGTGTTTTTCCTTAGAATTTGTAATCTCTTCTTGAATTAGCTTTTTATATTCTTTATCATTATCCCATTGCGAATTATATTTCCAAAATCCAGGTCCCCGTCGTTTAAAATTTTTTGATTGAAATGTGATAAATGCAGCATTATGATCAGGAGATGGCCCAAATCCTATTTCCGAGCTAACCAGTTCTTTTAAATCTGTTGATATTAACCAATAGTCGAGCCTGCATTGAATTTTACAGTCAGCATTATGCCAGGTGTATCTTTTTTCTAGAGGATGCTGATATCGCCATATGTCCTGTAAATTATTTGTATTTTTTAACGTTAAGATCTCATTTATTACTTTGGCCTTTTCTTGTATAGGTTTTCCTCCATATTTGTCTTTTTCTGTAAGAGCACAATTAAAATCACCAGCGCAAAAACAATAATTAGTATCTACATTGTTTAACAATAAATGATTCACAATTTGAAAAAAGTCTATTTGTTGGTTTTTATCATTTGGGGCGTATATATTTACAAAACAGTATGTGTCGCCATCTATCTCAACATTAAGTATCACATACCGACCATTTTTATCTACTGTCTTATCAATTATATTAGCATCAATTTTTTCTGAAATAAGTATAGCTACTCCTTTACTATGACACGTACCATGTGAAAACACTGAGATTCCTTTCCACTCGTTTCTCCATTGATTTTCTATTTTTGTGTGACTAAACGTCTCTTGTAAAAAGGCTACACCTATATTTTGATTATTTAACCATCTAAAAGTGTTCATTCTTTTTCTAGATTTATTTAATCCTCTAACATTTAGAGTTACAGCTTTAAATTTTACTCCCATTTAACAAACAAACCAAAATGTTTTTATGTTTATTTCACAAAAAATGTCAGTACATATGCGTACATACTTACCTGTAGTGTAATATACATTGTTATCGTTGTAAGAATTATATTTTGCATTGTATCAATTGTAAAGATTTGCCAAAAGTCAACCATATATACAATATACTCAACCATCACACACATACACATACATACAACACACCACACATTTATACATCTTAAAACAACAAACATAACTATTTATTTGATTTGTCAGTTTATTTCAGTTAAACTATACACTCGCTGTTCAGATGTAAAGGTACAATATACCTGTTAATTGCCGTGCGCGATTTTGATTTTGAGCTGGCAATTAAAACCAATAAAATAAATGGCGCCAACAGGCTCATGTTCTTAATAATTGTTTATCTACTTTAATTTGGTGGTCAAATCATACGTTTTTTCTAGATTTCGTGATTATGAAATATAACGAGAAATATATACCTTTGTGTTTTAGATGCAGTATATTACTTTCAAATCCAGAGCACCCCCCATTAAACGGCCAGACGCCAGGCTACCGCGTTGACCCGTAACCGCAACAGGCCCAATGCTCTGGAGTTATTTTGACTGTTTTGCATCCATACACTTACATTAAATGGTGCGTGCAATTGAGAGATGTTCAAAATGTTC